GTATCTAGACCACCACTGCACTTGAATTGTCTGCTCACATTGAAGCGGTGCGCCGGGTTTATTGCCGGTGTGCCGTAGCGTTGTTTGCATTTAGCGGTGCCCGATGTTGGCGGACTTCGTCTCACAAGATGCTGCAGTCCGCGCTCTCTGCGACTATATCGCGAAGATGTCTCAGGTTATCCAGGAGAGACGGCTGAGGCGGCTTTGGGACGTTCGTTATCGTCCGCCTCGCAAGGTCAGTGTTACTGCCTGTCGATTCGGCGCCGTTGTCCACCTGAAGATGTCACAGAAAAGGTCAACTCAAGATCCAGCTCGACACAGACATGGGAATGGTTTTGGACATTCGTTATTGGGTCACCGTCGCTGGAGAAGAACATGGGTCGGGCCGCTCGGATCCGCTGCCGCAGATCGTCGCGCGTGGCATCATTGGGGCCGGCATGGTCACAACTGTATCGAGTGAAGGTAAGATGTCAACAGAAGACTGATACTATAGACCCCAAATGGGTCGTGCGCGAAACAGAAGGGCGGGGGTGAGGTGAAGGACCCTAATTAGCTGTCGGTATACGATGGATCGTGTCGTACGGAAATGGTATGGGGGGAGGGGGCTGCGAGCGGGGTAACACGCCGGACAGGAAGCCTAGTGTCCAAAGGTCGGGCTAAACACCCCTTCCCCCGAGGCGTTGTCTGCTGGTGAATCTGTCACCAGATCTTGGCCTCCGGTGATAACCGAGCGATAGGAGGGACTGGCCAAACTTCAGAATATTGGATGGCTTTACGTTTTAGTCGTGACGTGCAGAGCGCATGGTCCCATGAAGACGCCGAAGGTGAGATCACCAAAGGCGGAGACCAACAAACACGACTCCGGATTAGGAAGAGAAGTTAAACGCCAGCACAGGAAGAATATATTCCGTACAGAATGGAGTAAGTCGGCGGCCAGAAGAGAGGCGCGCGTCCGCCACCGCCGAGGCCGGTCTGCATGAAACTGATTGGCTGGTTTGGGCAGCTGTGAATGGCTTAGAGCGGAAAGAGCCCCTCGGATACAGGGACTCGACAGACGCGATGACGGCTTCGGAATGTCAGATGAACGACTGTCGTCGATGCGTAAGTGTTGCGGCGGACGCCCCGGGAATCGCCGCGAAGGCTATCCGCCCCTTCTCTCCCCTCCAGCAATTTAACACTGACAAGTTAATTCCAACGATGTTGGGAACTCCTGGGTAACACTTAACACAATGTTGCGTCGACGAGGACTTAGTTAGAAGACAGTGATTTTTAATTGAGCGATTTATTTGCACAGGTGGAATTCTGAAATGCATTAGAAAAATAGGGCCTATAATCTCAGCGCAAAGCAGATACAGAGGGTTTTGGAAATGCTTGAATCATTCCTTATCAAAACGGACAATCAGTCCATTATCGCCGACGGCCACAAGAACATTTCCATCGTTGGCAAACCGAGTTTGGCGTATGGCACCAAAGTTACTGGCTCCTCCAACCTCTCGAACACCGGTAACACACACGTTCAGAGCCTTAAAGTAGAAAATGAAGGTGCACACTCAAACCCAGAGTTGGTCGCAATCACAGTTAATCTAGGAGCAAAAAAGAAAATGCTTACCTTCGGGGTTAGAGTGAAGGCAGATTCCGGATGGGACAAATCCCAAATGTAAATGCGCAAAGGGCCAGTGCCGGTTCCCAGCGCAAGAAGCCTATTTTCGAGGTCCAGATCGAACCGTATATACCAGAGGTTACAGTCGGGTATCTTGAGTTGGTGCAGAATGCTGCAGTGGTGCTCTGTGGGGACACCAGTCATGGAGGTGATTCCGCTGTTTCTCTTCATGTGGCCGACGCTCTTTAGTCGAGTTGGCAGTATCAGACCGTTCACACGGTCTGACCCACCACCACCACCCGGAGGATTATCCAGACTTCCCGGTTTCCAGATCACCACGCTGTTCTCGCAGGACTTTGAGATGATCAGAGAACCGAACCAGCGCGCGCAGTCGACATAATTGCCATGCGCGTCGCGTGAACTGAACTCGGGGAAGTGCTGAAGCAACGTGGGGAAGGGTCTGCAAGTGAAAAGGCAAAAATACCATCAACTAGGGGATGGGGGGAGGGGGGGAAAGCGATAGACTTCGGAGGTCGTGAAGATGTCGCGAAAAGCCTCCGCTGAGCAGACTATAATCAGACTCAAGTTTCTCTTGGAGACAGCAGGGCGTGGGAATATACATACAGTACGTAACCTAACTCTCGAAACGCGATGGAGAGAGTCGGGATGTACATGGGTTGTACGATGCACCATACTGGATAGTACAAGTACCAGTTAGAAGCTCAGAAACGCGTGTTTCGCCGATTTTCTGTCGCTGAATGGCACAGTTGTTAGGGGGTTCGACTCATCAGTGGGCCCCCAGCGTTCCTTATATACTTTCAGGCAGATACTCCCGTTTTGAAATTGCAGCTTTTCATGTTCCTCAGAAACGGATCGTTAACTTGGAGTAGATCAGTCTACTTGAGACTTATAGAGTCAGACTGAAATTTTATGCGTATATTTGAGCTGGAGCTCATCAGAGCGGAATAACCGCATCAGATTCAAGCTGCCGACAATAAGCCAGTACAGAGGTCCCACGATATAGTATACTTGACAGCATACTTGACCATAATCGACTCGAGATGATCATTTTTAGCACCTAAAACGCTGTGCACTTCTCCTTTTCGCCTTTCCCGTTCCAGAAGATAAGCTTTTCATGAAGAATATGTTTTTAAGCAATTTTATCAGGGAAAATGTTTACAAAATTTTGACGGAAATCTACGTTATTTTCTATTTGGGCAGTTTCGTACGATAATAGCTCGAACCAAATCCGCACCTCCATGGGTGATTTTTTATGGGAGAAGAGTCATTTGACGGCGAACTTTGCCAAACAAAACTTGCCGAGCCTGAAAATCGGTTCTCGGCCCGCCTAAGTCAGGTGAAGCAGGAGGAGAACAGGCGGGTTATTCTTTAAAAAAAACAAGATGTTTTATCGGTCTTTGAGAATCGGACTTCTAAACCTGTGTCATTTCATGTCCTTGTTAGTGATAAACCCATTAGTTGGGCACAGTAAGTAGGCTATCCAGGCAACGAAGATAGAAATATACCAACAGTTACAAACTAGTAAATAAGAACAAAGTCGTCAGCAGGTAAAAATGAGCGTGCCAGTGCTTTGTCTAATTCAAAGTTGTGACAAGTTATTTAACAAGCGTATTATAACTGATCAAAACCAAACGGACTTAAATGTCACTACACCCTAAAAGGCAGTAATAATGCCTAGAGGCAATCTAATGTTTAAACGTACTGAAAGTTTCCTGTAGTTTATGCATATACTATAGAAAATAATGGAAGGGCCCATCGGGAAATGGATATTTTAACTGTTGGGCATTTGGTAGGATCTTTTTTGTGTGCTCTAGTTTCTGCCAACACGCAGTTTAGAAATAAAACGGACGGGGCACTATCAAACAGAACCCATCCCTGTGGACGGTCGATTGAGAACACTGAAATCCGCAGGAGATTCATAGACATTTCAAGAACACTCTGAAAACCAATGAACTCCACCGTCACCAAAATGCGCACGGATGAAAAAAACCTCCTGGTATACCCAAAATGGTATGCTTATGATTGGATGTGTTAATTCAAATTTCTTAATCCCTGACCAAACTGTAAACATGCGACCTCAGGAAAACTCCTATTTCTGTAGCGTATCCGTCAGTGAAATCCCCTTGATTTGATCACCCGCATCTCGATCGAAAAAAGTGAAAAAATTGCATCGGTTTCTCGAAAGAAGCTTCTGAAACACATTACCAAACTTTATGTACTAAGCTATGTGCCAGATTTCACATAATACAAATTCTCGGAGGATGCTTACCGGGAATGTACGTAACGAAACCGTTTTTTAAAACGCTGCTGTGCTTATGTCGTTTTGTTTATTTAGTTATTTACATGGACAGGGTTTGAGTGCTTCAAAAACTGGAGTCCACTTATTTGACACGAATTTTCGCCCTTCCGGTCTACTTAAGAAAATGGTCATTTCTGATTAACAAGATAGTACTTCAAGTATTCGCTTCGCGTCTCCATTTACCAGAGGTCATTCATGATCAGTTTGGTGCTTTGGTGGATGCATTTTGACTGGTTGCCGATTGATAGCGCACTTCGTTATTTTGGGCATATTTCATGAGTTCGGTCACCTAATGTAAGTTCCTGTTCTGTCTTAAGTGGCAATAACGACTTGCACATGAACTTGCTCACAATGAAGCAGACTTCCGATGCTTCTACCTTACTCTCCACTCCCACACCTACCTTGCCCAAATGACAAGCAGATAGAGGGTCGAGACGGCCGGAGGTGAACATGGGCATAGTTACCCGTAATGCCCAGCGTCGCGTACCGGCAAAAAGACTAGGGCTTATAAATCAAAATAAAAAGGTGTACTTATAACGTTAAAGTAGGCACAATGTTTGGATTAATTACTCACTTGGCCGTAGGCGTAAAAGAGTTGATAATGGCGTTTTTCAGCTCTGGCGAGTCAAGACGCCAAATCTTGACTGTATGATCCATACCAGCGGACAGAAGGAGGTCTCCAGTCAATGAAAGGTCACCATACAGCACTTCAGAACGATGACCCTCAGCTCCCCCAAAAATACATACAGGCACGTGGGTTGCAATGTTCCACAGGCGGATAGTGTAATCTACAAAACAGTAAACACATAGTTTGCGTTCAAGGACGAAACGTTCAACAAAAAAGCCTCATGCTAACTCCAGCCACACACATTGCGCGGAGCAGAGCCGCAAGATTTCTTTCTATTCGCGCATTGGTTCGCGTGGGCTCGGACCAGGTGGCGGCGGGCTTCATAAAGCTCGGGGGATGAGGGGGTATTCTTCCCCTCGTAATCTACGACGGTCATCAACGCCAGATCAGGACTGCTGTTTGTTAAGGGGTGGGGGAATCTGGTGGTAGATGTAAAGAGGAATGTAAGCTTTCCCACACGCAGAATGTGTGCATCTTGAAGACTGAAATCCTTAAAAGTGAATGTCTGATCTGACTCATAATTATTCGAAAATTGGGGAATTTATTGAAAACCTAAACATACCCCCCCTTCGAGTATAAAATGGGAAGTCTACATGATTTCCTACCGATTGAGCGAAAGAATGCATACTTTCTTGCATGTTTTTTTTAATGAAATATATTTGAATTTATAAGGACACCAGAAATCACTGCGAAAAAATGCATACTAATTAAGTAGTACCGAGTGGGTTTTTTTACACTAGGTCGAGAAGAAGTGCATTCAAAAGTCAACATCCTAGCGAGTCCGAATTATTATGAGATTAAACCGCGTGATAATAAATATTACAATACCGCTTGAGTAATCCTTCCTAATCGGAAACACATTTCAGAATTTCGGCCAACATTTCATGAGATGGGTCTTTCTTCCCACCAAGCCTCTCTTATGGTTTTATCCACTCTGAGAATTATTCTTGACTCACAGGCACCAGTTTTTCTGGTGCGTCGCTCTTCTTTCTGATGTATCTTAACAACTGCCATCGTTCGATCCCCCCCCCCCCGTATGGTCCGCTAGATTCTGCCGGTGATGTGGGTTTACGCCAGGGCAAGGTGCTCATCTTCGTGAAGGACGGTCCCGGCTTCTACACCACTCGCATCCTCGCCCCAATGCTCTCCGAGGCCATTCGACTAATGCAGGAGGGCGTCACCCCGACGGAACTGGATGCGGCAACGCTGGCGTTTGGCTGGCCAGTCGGTATGGCCACCCTCGCTGATGAGGTCGGACTCGACGTGGCGGTTCACGTGGCCGAGGATCTGGGTGCTGCCCTCGGCAAACGCGTGCAGGTGGGTGTGTGTGTGTGTGTATTTTACGCAAGGGAGTCTGAATCCGTCTCCGATCATCGTGCCATCGGAGCGGTCAGGGTGAGGGGGGGAGAGAGAGAGTGCGGTAGACGCTACGCAAGTTTGCCCCAATACAAGACAACGTATGTACAAGTTACCTCTGCGCAAGTTCTGTGAACTGCTGGATGAATGTCGCATGCTTTTAGGTTTCTGTGTCTCTGTATACATGCAGGAGGTGGGGGAAATGGACGCTGCAGGCGTTTCTCCACTGAAGGGACTGGATCGTTAGAAAAAGAACCCCATTTGTCTGCCGTCTTGGCTTCACTCTCAAGCCCACCATCCCAGATAGCATCAAAAGCCGCCGCGTCGGTAAACTGGTAGGGTGAGATTGACGGATACGAAAGGTGATTCTGCCTCTGCGTAGCAAGGCACGCAAATCTACAGCCGGAAACTCGATGCGGGAGGATAAGATCGAGGGAGCAGATCTGCCCCAGTGCAGCTGCAGACACTCAGTTTTCTTCATGCGACTCATTCTAGTCCAGCTTAAAAGTCATACGGGGGGGGGATAGACAGAGGCAAACATTGGCAGCCCCAAATTCGCACCTGCGTAAAGACCGCCTCCGGGCTTTGAGCTCTTTAACTGTGCCCAGTAATTCAAACAGTACAGCGTAGCTCGCTTAAAAACCTTGACTTTGGCCACTTCGAGCCCAGAACAAACGATCTCACCTGACGCAGCGGATAATGACGGTTAATAGGGATCACTGGGCGGCCATAGACTGTCCCTTTAGCGGAATCTTAGCTGTCTACAGCACCAGCCAGTGCTGTGATGAAGATGCGATGATGAAGACAGTCTGCTGGTGTCTAATTATTTGACTCGAACCCATCCACAGCGCTTAACCTCGGTTATTTTCGCATGCGGACAAGAGGATCGTCTTGGCGCCATATGATGGCCGCTAATCTGGCATCTGGCGGGTCGCGCTGACTGACCTTTGACCGCTTACCGGGCTCTCCGCGCGCGTGAGTCACCCACAGGCGAGCGACTAGGTCCCCCTGGTGTGTGTGTGTGTGTGATCCGGCTGCGCCTGCTTGTCCTCACTCCGTTTAGCCGGATTTTCGAACAACCTTCTGCCTTCTTCGGAGTGCACTCCCTGTTTCGGTCAACGGTGGTCTCCTTGAGAAGGTGAAGGCGATCGCCGGAACAAATTTATTGTGCCGATGACGCTTCGAAGAGCTTGGTCGGCTCACTATTGCAAAAGCGTTTAATGCGTAACATCTGCATAAATTCCAAATGACTGATCAAGCTATTAGGCCTAGGGCCGATCGACTTTTCTTCTTTTGCTGTTTTTTATGGGTAACGATCGTTTACATGCCGGGAGGATACGCGGACAGCAAAACCCCGCAATACTGGTGGCTTAACGCTACTTTCCAGGCATCTAGGGTTAAATCACCCCGGATTCCCCAAACCTGGGTACAGTCTCTGTTGGTAAAAACCAAAATATTAACTAAACAGGAAACAGGGGCACAATTCTGCATGCCTTTAGGCCGGGAGTTTCTTGAGGAGAAATGAGTCGAATTCAAATGCCAAATATACAGATAAGAAAACAGTACTGTGCAATTACTGAATTGTAATGACAACAACACGAACCTTCCTAACAACGCGTTTTTGCGTTTCCATTCAGTGAGCCCGAATATTCTTCCTCAAGCCTAAAAAACCCCGACAGAAACCCCTTACATCGAGAATGGACAGGAAGGAGATTGTTGGGTCATCCTTATTTTCCAGGACTGGCGCTTAAGTCAAGGATTTTTTGGAGAATATTAACTGCCCTGCGACATAACTTTGGGGCTCGTATCAGGCATGAAGCTTGAGACCCGAAGAAGTACTGTATCTCAAGGAAACAGCCGAAGCCGCTAACTGGACTTGGTTTGGTCAGGAACGAGGGGAAAAGGCTAGAGTGAGACAAAGGCATGCCAGGTAGCTAGTGAGCCAGTGAAGGTTAACATTTCAGAGAAGTGGTGTCGAATTCCAAAATGCCGTCAACGCTAATCGACATGTGCACAAAGCCACAACCTGTATGCCCATGCGCATCCATGAAATGATGGCTGTCGCATTTTCGACTCTCCAACCCCGGATCGATTTACGAGGACGCGCCGCACCGGCTCTAGATATTTCAAGCCGACTTAAGTAGCCTAATTGCGAACTAGTAGGACCGCGCACATGATCAGCATGTCAGTCGGCCCGTCTGCATGAGCCCAAATTGACAACTGGGAAGCTGCCCTCAAACTTTCAGCTTGGAACATACATTGGAGGAGCTGGCTACACTCTTGATCTTCAAGAAGCGAGCATCTTAAGCCTGGGTAACTTGAGGACAGAAAGACTCACAGTTAAAGAGTGGGGTATTCAGATGCCAACTCCCTCGGACATTCTAACGCCGCGTGGGTCTTATAAGTCACATGCGCATCCACGCCAGTAAATTCACCACAGTGTCAACACGGCAAACCCATCTATTGCGGTCGGAAACTCCCACACCAGTAACGCTAACTACTACTACTATTACTACTACTACTACTACTACTACTACTACTACTACTACTACTACTACTAC